TTTGACAGACAGCCATCCATTCGCTCAATCTATTCAGCATATTGTGAGCTCCCTCAGTGCTGGATGCTGCTGCTCTATTGAAATCCCTCTACCAGCATCTAAAGAAGCCCATCATCAAAGATGGCTCCCCCTTGGTTAAACAGCTCTGCAAGACAGGGAATTCTCTGTTAGGCTGGGCCACAGACTTTCTTCCTAATAATTAATATGCCTTGGCCCTTATTCTGCCTTTTGAGACAATATGAAACAAGTCTTTATTCATCTTGAGACCAGATAGGCAAAGACAGCGATCAGGACTCCCACTTCACTCTCTGGCTCTAAACACGCAGCACATCATCTCATTAATTATCTGGGACAGGGTTGGTGAGCCTCTTTTATAAAGGGCCAGATGGTAAATGTTTTCAGCTTTGTGTACCACACGGTCTGTGTCACGGCTTCCCAACTCCTCTGTTATAATGTAGAAATGGACATAGATACGACAAAAATTAGTAGATGTAACTGCGTGGCAGTAAAATTTTATCGATAAAGTCTGGTGGCAAGCCAGCTTTGGGCCTCAGGCTGTAGTTCTCTACCCCTGTTTTAGCCCATGAAAAGCCACTAGCACCATTATTCTTGGCTGATACGCCCCTATTCTGAAGCTAAAACCTCCCTCTGTGTCACCCTCTGATCCTTTATACCTTTTATCTGTTTTTCTTATCTTACCGCTTCGTCTATGATTTCCAGCACAGTTTATATCTCCATGGCTCTGCTCTGGCTATTCATTCCACTAATCATACTATCTATCCCCAATAAATATCTGGCTTAGACATATTAGACTGACCCCATTCCCCCATATTACATAACCTTAGGCCATACATCCCTTGAACTCTCAGGGGGGTGGTCCTTTTCTAGTCTCCCTCATAAACATTTCTCACATGTCCATGTAAGAAAAACAATAAATCCCATTTTACATCCTTTTGCTTTTCATATCTGTTAAGACTATGGTCCACATTTTGGTGCTTCTAATTTTATTTAGACAATATCATAGTGCTCACTGCAGCTTTAATTCTAATCTTAGTTGACCCTTTCTTTTAAAGTTAACCCGGGACTACTTTAGATGGTCTGGGCAGAAATTAGCATTTGTTGATTGGCTAACCACTTTTGACAGGTATGACACAGGTGTTTCTTCCTAATATTGATAATTCAAGAACGATAGCAACTGGTGGTCACAAGACTGATATTCAAGGAATTGATTCTGATTATAAAGCAGAAATGAAACTCAAGTAGACCTGATGAAAAATATGTGTACAAATGCCTCATGAGAGGAAATTCAACAAACACCATGCCACCAAGGCAGAGCCATTGAGCCTTGACTGTCCTTTCTTTTGAATAATGTAAACTAACAGACATTTCCTCTGACTTGGTATCTTTCAAAGCTTTTTACTCATAACCTTATCTTTGAAGGCATTTTTATTTCTATTTTGCAGGAGAGAAACTCATACCTGACTGTAAAATATTTACCAGAGGTCCCAGACCCTGTGTTTGGCTGTTTTAGTTCATTTCAATTCACATTGCTCTTCTCTGGGAAGTACACTGCACTTCATCGTTTCGCTAACTCCTACGTGTCTTTAATAATGCAGCGTAATCATCATCATCTCCTGCAATGTCACTGTGGAAATTAATCCTGCCTCATGCCCACCATCTGTTTTAGGTGTTCTTCGTCAGTGTTGACACAGCGCTGTTTGTAACATACCTTGACTGGTAATTTATTAGCTCATGAAGAAATTAAGGGCAAGATTCTTGCCTCATTTAATTTTGCACTCATGTAAACATTTGTTGAAAAATGGAATATCGTGAGATGGAGCCCAGCCTAGGGAGTCAGTTCTCCGTGATGTTTCTCATTCCTGAATACAGCTGGAAGCAAAACAAAGATCATTGCTTTAGTGGGCTGTCTGTAATCTCCAGCCTTCCGAAACAAACCCAAATAAAGAATAGGTTACTCCTAGGAGTCATGTCTTTATAAACACCAGAACCTGAACCCACAAGGCCTGGATGGAGGAGGAAACAACACAGTTCATGGTTAGGAAAAATTTCTGGAGTCAGACTCTTAGATTTGAATTCTGTCTCCATCATTCCCATCAGCTGACTTAGCCTTTTTCTAGGCCTTGATTTCTAGTTTCCCAAATACAAAGAGCAGAACTTTCTTGTATTATCTGTTGCTATGTAACAATCAATACACAACAAAATTTATGGTGCAAAACAATAAACGTGTATTATTCCATATAACTCTGTGATTAGGCATCTGGGAGAGGGCTTATGTGGCTGGAGCACTGAGGTGCTGGCTGCAGCTGTAGTCATTGGGAGCCTTGACTGAGGCCAGAGGAGCCACTCTGAAGATGATATACCATGTGACCATCGGGGGCGCTCAGCAGCAGCTGGTCCCTGGCAACATGACCTATTCTGGGAAGTCCTCCGGGCTACTTCCGTCACATTCTGTGTGTTAGGAGGAAATCACTAGTGTATCCCGTATCCACGAGGAGAATCATGTCCTACCTTTTGTAAAGAGGAGTATCAAAAGCATTTGTTACTTAAAAATCATTACTTTTATTTTATAGGATTGTGTGAGAATGAACTGAGATATTAACTGCACTGTATTTACCAGAAGACTTAGTACCAAAAATGTTTGCTCCTCTCTCCCACCTAGAATTACTTATCTTTTCCACAGATGAAGAAACAAAAGCAAAACATGGACTGTCAATTTGAAGGCTTTGAAAAAACAAAACAAAACAAAACAAAGACCCTGAATCCAAATTAATGAGATAACCTATTAAAGTTTTCTGTAGCATTCTTGAAACAGAAAGCTGTTTGTGAATATATAGATTTTTTTCATTCTTTTAAAAAATTTTGATATTATAATATAATTACAACATTTCACCCTTTCCTTTTCCTCTCTTCAAACGTTCCCATATCACTCCTCTTTGCTTTCTTTGAAATTTATGGCCTCTCTTTTTGTTGTTATTATATGCATATGCATTTATATACATAATATAATATGCTCAGTATACACAGTGTTATTTGTATGTATGTTTCCAGGCTGAGCATTTGGTATTGGATAACCAATTGGAAGACTATTTCTCCTCCCCTCAGAGTTATAGCTCTTAGTGTAAGGTTGAGGCCTCATGGGCTTCTCTCTACCTGCTTTGGTATGTCTATTGTTGTTTTTGATCAACTCATGCTTAGGCAATGATGTTGGTAGGTTTCCTTGGGGAAGAGTGGCATCTGTATGACAGGGAGCAAAGACAGCACAGCTGGTGCTGGCAGTGGGTAGTGGTGACCTGTGAAGAGTTGCCTCAGGAGGAGAGGCTGCACCTAGGCAGAAAGGATCCACTTGTGATGGGCACCCTCTGGTCCCAACATTCCTGAAAGAGCCTGCTGACAGCACCTTCCACATCACAGAGAAGTTTGGTTGACTCTCTTGGTTCATAGGGTTTCACGTAAGTGCTGGCTGTCTACCCCATAGGACAATATAATACAAGGAAGATATTCAATAATTTGATTGAAGACTGTGCCATTAAACTAGCTAAGTCACTTAAAATATTACACCTTCGTAAGTCAGTCTTTTATGTCTACTTACATTTAAACTGAACGATTTCTTACTCAAGTGAAACCAAAAGGATGTTTCTTGAAATGTGAGGGAGCAAGGACTAGGAGTGTTGACTAAAGATGTATTTTGGAATGTCTAAACCCACTGTTAGTTCCCTTCGGTTGCATCTCTTCTTTGTTTACTGTTTGGTTTTATAATAAGTGTTTAAAATTAACTGAATTTTAAATGACTTGATTGTTTTAGCATTCAGAGTGTATACCTTTAGTCTACCTTTAGGTAACCATCTAATGATTCATGTAGAAATAACCTCATAGCATTACTGTTCCAGGTCCCTTCTCTTGACCTCTACTGTCTAGACAGTTCACTTCTGCATTTATTAGAAATCTTACAACACACAATTACTATTTTGCCTAAATGGCCAATTATCTTGCTAAATGATTTTTTTTAAAAAAATGAAAAAATGTATGTACATATTTAAGTTTAGGCTATTGCTCCTCTTAAAATGATTTGTGTATTCTTATATTGTGTGCATTAGTGCTTTATCTGCATTTATGCGTGTATGCGGGTATCAGATCAGTTTTAATTAGATTGCAGACAGTTGGGAGCTGCTGTGTGGGTGCTACAGATGAACCGGGGTCTTCTGGCAGAGCAGCTGGTGTTCCCAATTGCTGAATCACCTCTCCAGCCCCTCTTTGTTCCTTTAGATAGACCTGTCTGGAATTTTCCTTCTGCACAGGGTCTTCCTTTATCACTTTCTACAGTTCAACTCTGCTACTTGATGAGTCCTTCCGGCTCTGCATGTCTGAAAAAGGTCTACTTCCTTTTCATTTGTAGAAGACATTTGCTGGGTATAGAATTCTGCTTAACAGTGTCTCTTCTTACTCTACTCTTTGCTTGCTTGCATTGTTTCTGATGAGAAATCTATTGTTTATCTTTGCAGCTCTTGTCTTACTCTCGCTCCTTTGGCCTTTCTGAAGTGGCAGCTTTTCCTCTTCTGTCTAGACAGACTATTGGATTCTACCTGGGCCTAGAAACACTCTAAGAGCGAGCTCAGCTATTTACACTGCACTCACTTAATTTTTCTCTTGAATCAGATATCAATATTCTTGGACTATTCACTGTGTGAAAATCATTATCTTTTTCTTTTTTCTTTTCTTTTTCTTAGACTTTATTTAAAGCACCAGGATAAATTTGATTCTTCATACTCTCCAGTTTCTTTTTGTTTTGTTTTGTTTTGTGGAAGTGGAAGTTCCAAATTGTCAAGCCAAAATGACAAATGCTTAACATATTAAAACTAACTTTTGATTGTAAAACTCTCTCCTCAGAATTGACCTATATCTTCCACTAAGTAAAAATTATCAACTCACTTTAAAAATCCATTTAATGCCATAAATGTTTGATGTTATTTCTTTTCTTATAGGGAACAGAAAACACTCAAGCTGGATTTTTAAGTCATTGCACACTAACAATAAACCACAAGTCACAGAATGTGATCCTGTGTAAAACGCTTCTGAAAAATTAGCTTCAAGCAACAGAGGAAAGAAAACTGGAGGGCCGTTTTGAAATACTGGTCTAAAACAAACTGTTCTTGTTGGAAATTACAACTGGAAACTTTTGTCTGGCTCTCAACATACCCAAATGAAAGGCGCTGTCAACTTGTTTCTCACAGAGACCGGGATTATGTGAGATTACCTGTTATCTTAACATGATTGCCAGGGGAGGGAACACAGAAGAGTAACTGAAGGACACAGGTCAAGATGACTTCTGAAGAAATGGCCGCTTCCGTCCTCATCCCTGTGACTCAGAGGACAGTGGCTTCTGCCCAGTCGGCAGTGGGAGAGGACAAGAATGAACAGGTCTCAGATGCTGGTGCTCCAAAGGTACGCGCTGGTAGGCGCAGCGGCCAGATCCCCCAGACCCTCTCACGGTGGAACAAACCTGAGGCAGAGACTTCTAGAAGCGATTTGTCCCAGGTCCTCTCAATGGCCACAGGAGGAATAATGAGCGATGAGAACCACAATGAACAGCGCTGGGAGCAAAACCTGCCAGATTCTGTGAGAAACAGCACCGTCAACTGCAACAGCCTATTGCAAAGTCACCAGTGTGACCCTCCTTGGAACCAGCTTCGTGGGGCCTGTGACTCGGTCGCAGAAGAGGGCCTGTGTTTGCAAACTGGAATTTCTTCTCCACTGGAAAGGAAGGCACTCCCTGGAATTCAACTGGAAATGGGTGATTCTCCCATGGATGTGAGCCCTTTGGGAAACGAGCCTGGAATCACGGAGCCCAGCGGACCTCAGCCTGACAGCAACATGGCAGTCTTTCATTTCCGTTATGAAGCGGACGGAACAATGTCCGACGCTTTCCATTCCCTGTCAGAAAAATTAATTTTGGATGACTGTGCAAACTACGTTGCTCTTCCTGGGGGGCAGCAGAAGAAACATTATGAGGAGGCTTATACTTGTAAGCTAGTGGAACTGACCAAAGACTGTGGCAATAAGAACGGGCAGCTGCAGTGCGAACATTGCAGCTTGCTGCACAGCAAATACCTGCGCTTTGAAAGCTCCTGCCCGCAGGCTGACGGGGGCTGCTCAGGGGCTGGATTTTGCAGGGAGGGTTTTACTCACAACCCACCTGCCAAGACTTTCCTGAGCCCTTTCGAGGATTTCTCTGACAGTTGTGAAGACATAGACGATTTTTTGAAAAGCAAAAAGGAACGGTCCACTTTGCTGGTGAGAAGGTTTTGTAAAAATGACAGGGAAGTGAAGAAGTCCGTGTACACCGGCACCAGAGCCATAGTGAGAACCTTGCCTTCTGGCCATATCGGGCCAGCTGCTTGGAGCCATGTGGATCGGAAGAGAGTGAGGCTCTTAGGGTCTTGTGGGGATGCAATGGAACCTCTGTCAGCAATGGATGTAAGGCTACGTGGGAGCCTACGTCAGTCTGAAGCCCAATGGTGTCTGGTAAGAGTTTGCGTTTCTTCCACTGCTTTGGTTTGTTTCACTTTTCCTCCCTTCCTTCATTCCCCCTTTAGGAGTTTTTATCTAGGGTCTTACTACATAGGCCCTACATAAGCCTGGAGCTTGCTCTAAGAATATGGCCTAGCATGACCCTCCTGACAACCTCCTGAATCTTGAGATTACAGGTGGACACTCCTGTTTCTTTCCATTATTTCATTAAACTTGCTTGTTCTTTTTATAAATCTGAATTTCTTATTGCGTTTATTAAAAGATAAATCAAGATCTGTCAAATTATGATTCTCATAGGAATCATTGGTAGTTATTGAGAAATAGATATCCCAATTGATAGGTCTAAGGTCTAAGTTGACTCCACAGGTCACAAAATATGTGCAGGCCTATGTAGGGCTTGGAGAAGTAACGGATTTTCTGTCATCAGCTTTGGAGATGCATTCTCAAGTCTTTTCCATGACCCACTGTGGCCTTTAGCTTTACAGGCCTGAAGGAGTTTCAGTCTTGAAGCTTCAACTTTATAGACAAAGGTCTTTCCTTTTTTCTCTCTTAAACTTTGTGTGTGTGAGTGCGTGCCATGTACCCCGTCAATGAGGACAATGTGGTTAAAATAACACTTTAAGTGCACCAAATGAAATAGAAAGCATCAGTAATGAAGAAAAATATGTTGGCTTCTACTTGTGAGACACAAGATGGTTTTGAAATTGGGAGATGCCAGTTTAAATGCGTCTTTACTGCCATACGGACCCTCGTTACCTAGGATTGTGATAGCTAACTGAGTTTCCAAACAGTAAGGAATGTAAGTAGAGTGACTTGCTTGGGACTTTCTTAATTTCGACCTTGTGAGCCTCATGTTACAGGACATCCCTTTAATCTGGGCAAAGGGAGACAATGGATCACTCTAAATCGCCATAATATCATAAGATATCCACTGCAACCATGATATGATGTGAAATGTGTTATTTTTATTGGTGGCAGGATCATTCACTTCTTGTAGATGCTCATAATTAAAGAAATGCTAAATTTACACCTAAGATTACTGAGAATATTCATATTTGATTCTAAGTTCCAGGGCCTCTAAGAATCTCGGTTTTTCTCTTTAACCATAAACAAGCAGGCAACTTGCTCTGGGCCCGATTTGCACTGCTGAAGACAGAACCATATACTTTGCCTATTTCTTGCTTGGGAGCATTCGGGATCTTGTCTGACAAAAGGAAGGAAGCCTTTCTATGTTTGCTGTTCATTCACCACAGCCAGAGTGTGGGTTCCTTTCTATATCTCTTCCCCTGCTCCCCCATGAAAGCTGAGTCCAAGCAAGACACTCCATACAGAGTGGCCTGTACTGCCCTGCACACTGAAGTCTTGCCCCTCGGCTCTCCTCCATAAGGCTGCTGCTGAGGACAGCATGCCACCCCATTTGAAAGGATATAGCTTTCTAAAGTCAAGCACCCTTGAGAGCACATTAGAAGTTTCCGGATAGCAAATGAATACAAATGCATTGCTGTCATAGCTTCCGAAGGACGCTTGTGTTGGGCGTGAGTTTTAGAATGATTAGCAGAGTGACTGGGCTTCCTTCCGGCTCTCTCCACCCTGAAGCTATTGGGCAGTAGCTAAACACCTTCATGTGTCAGGCTGCTTAGTTTACAGGGAGAAGAGCTGATGGGATGAGACAAACTGTCTCCTCCCCGCTCAGCTTCTGGAGGCTCGGAGAGGTCACCACCGCTCTGTTAGAGTGGGCCTCAGAAACTGCTCTTCCCTTTGTCTCAGATGCTTTTTGGAGACTAGGGGCTTTTTTTTTTTCTGCCATGTATGGTATATCTGGGAGTAGGCTGGCTGTGCTGTCCTTTAGAGGGAGAATTCAACATGCATGCCACGCCATGTCAGAAAGTTACTGGTCTTTAAACTATAGCCTTCTCTACAACTTGTTCTCTAGAGTCTGGCAGAAATGCTTCGCAGTTTGGCACAGCTGAATTATATCCGCTTGCCTCAGGTCTTGTGAGTTACTCCCTTCAGCTGAAAGAGCGGTACCCCCGCGGTACACTCCCTTTCTGTTTTCTGATGGTTCCATGCATATCTTTCCTATTTGCTCAGTCAAGTTGTAAACTTCAGAAGGGCAGAGACAGAGTCCTTATGCTTTTTTCCTCTCTATATAATGCATGCGTGTTGCGGATGCAGAGAGAACAAGGACAGCAACGTGGTTGGAAACAAACTCTGGAGCCGACCCAGATTTAAATTATGGCTTGGGATCCAAGAGTGATTGACAGGCAGTCTCTTTGCTCCTAATTACCTTTCATGTAAACCAGGCATAATGATGCCATTGTGGGCCCCTCTGCAGCGAGATGCTATCCTTCACACAGTGCTGAAAGCAATGAGTGCTCTTGTCCTCCCGACCTTCAATTTTCTGCTTCTTGGTGGACTCATTCCCACCCCGTTATGCTTTTTGGTGGACGTTTACACCAGGATGGATTCTAATGTCCAGTTTGCCCTCCATATGTGCAGGCTTTGCCTTCATGAGCTCCTTTAGATGCAGACTGAAGGGATCTGAAAATTTTTGCTAGGACTGTGGTTGAGAGATAGAGTGCTTGGCGTCACATATAAAGCCTTGAGTCTAAACTCCAGTAACCACCTCCTCCATCTCACCCACAACATTTAGCCAGATCTGATGGCAACTACTCAGGAGCCTGAGGCAGGAATATTGCAAGTTCAAGGCCACTTAGTGAGACTTTGTGTCAAAATAAATGCAAAAAAGCCTGAGAATATAGTTCAGTGGTGTTGTTTTTTGGGCTAGCCTATGTGAGGCCGTAGGTACAGTTCCAAGTAACACACACGCACACACACACCTGTTAAAAGCATTTACAGCTAACTGGTTTTATTGTCATTATTCTGCACACAACATAGCACAACAATTCAGCGTGTATTCGATAATGGATAGGTAGCTTGCAAATATTATACAATTTTATATAAGGGACTTGACTATCTGCAGTTTTGAGTTTCCATGCGGTCCAAGGAGCAACTGTATTGTCTTAGCCTATAGCGTGACCCCCTCAGTCCTTCCTATGCATTGCAGGCATGTGTTACTCATCTAATTAGTTTTTTGGCAAAACATCTTGGCTTTTTTTTTCCCCTGGGCATGTTGATCAGAACAGTCCAGTGACTTTATATTTTCACAGCTGTGTGGAGAGAATAGGTTTGGATGAAGACATTAATGAGGATTCATGCTTGCTGACTAACCACATTGTTAGTATCCTCCTGTGTGGAAAACATCAAAGTACCCCCCATCCAGTCCCTTGAGTCCTCCCTCCTGCTCTAAAGCTGTTGGCTCCGCAAAGTGGAGTCTTTGGCAAATGGCTAAAGTCTGCAGGGTAAAGATTTCACTAGGAGTGTTTATCTTTAAAAAAATATCTCTTCCTGTCTGATCTTGGGAGTTCAAAGCCTAGAGTTATCTTACAGGTAGATTCAAGCTCAGAAAGTGCCAGCTTTTGTCTTGACAAACTTAACTGTGTAACCCCAGCCATGTGTAACTCAGTAGCCATGGAAGGGGCCCTGGGTGGCCAAGGCAGAAAAGTCACCAGGTTCTGTACTAGTACTTTAAGGATTTCCCATCTTTGATCCTTAGGAGGATTCACTTCACATGAATGCATAGATACGGCAAAGCAGAGAAGATTCATGTTGAATTTTTAAAGGAACAGGAGATAATTTAAGAAAATTTTTATAAAGGAATAAAACTCACTTTTAAAAAATCTTATTAGCAAAACTGTAAATAAAAAATATGGACACAGCCAGCTTCTGTGAGTGCGCCATCTCTTTCTAAAATGCTGGCTCTTTACTGCTCAGCTCAGAATATTAAACTTAAGAGGCAGTGATGAGTTGAGCAGTAATACCTTTGTTGAGACAAATGTGTTTGAAGGAGGAGGGAGGGAGAGAGAAGAGAAGGAGGAGGAGGAGGAGGAGGAGGAGGAGGAGGAGAAGAAGAAGAAGAAGAAGAAGAGAGAGAGAGAGAAGAGGTGTGTGTGTGTGTGTGTGTGTGTGTGTATGCATGCATGTACATGCACAAGTGCGCTGGGAATTGAACATATGACCCCCTGCTTGCTAGGCAAGCACTCTACCACTGAGCTATTTTCTCTTTCAAATGGAGAGAAGCCAAACCTTAGGAGAAAGCTAATGCCCCTGATACGTGACCCACTGGTAATAAATTCATGTCCTAAGCTATAACTTACATAAATGACTGAATCCTTTGAGCCTCACTGTCCACCCTAAGACGTACCTTTGAGAAATAACAACAAGACTTTGTTTTTTTTCTTTAAGAATTTGGTTGCCCTGGAGATCAGTGACAGTTTGAACCTTGAAATAATTAAAATTTCATCGGGTGCTTAGACTAAGCTGGAAGCCAGTGCCTGGTGAGCTGCCTGGCGGCTTTTTCCTTTCCTGGGAATTTCAGCAACATTAATGACATGAGATTTGGAAGAACCTGCCCTTTCCCACTGATTGCTCTGAGAGAGAGAGTGGGTTCCACCAGCCCCGTACAGTGCAGTTATGTCCAGCGCATCAGTGATGAGCTGTCTGAGGCTAGCCCCGGGATGATGAAACTACACACTTTGTTCGATTAGCTGACCTGGACAGCGCCGATCATCTCTCCTCGTCTCAGTAGTTACTCTCGCTCTTTGGCCTAGGATCTGATAAAAAGTGGAATGAAAACCTTCCACTAGGACTCTGGTTTGTGATGTATGCATTTCTGGCTACTATTACTCTTATGGTAGCCTTGGGACAAGGTCAGCATTAGGACCGCCCTGCTTTCCTGCAGTTGTTCTGTGTAAATGGAGATGTCAACTTTGGAGACCTGTCTCTTAGAAAGGCCATTCATATGTGGCCAGAAAATGATCAGATCCAGTGGACAAAGACAGGCCATCAGGACCTGGTCTCATCCTTGCCCTGCATTTTACAGGATAGGACCTCAGGATGCCCTTGGAATGAGCAGTGAGAGTTTCACTCTCTGGGAACAAGGAGACAGTAGACAATAGGGCTCATAGACGATTAGGGGTGATAGGGAGGTTTCCACCCTGCTGACCAAGTGATTCAGCATTCAGGGACTTGAAGCATCATTGCAGGGCTGGGTGTGGCCATCCTCTGCCCTCCATGACTAGACTAACTGGTGGTTTGGTCCTCCCTGAAAAACTGTTCTCAGATGGGGGTGCTGACTCATGCTCCGGTCCTCAAAAGCTCCAAGACACCCACGTGATGCTCCCTTTGGTGCTCTGGATACATCCAGAGTTCAAGAGTGCAAATATTTAACTCTTATACTAGGTCCTTCCCTGAACTCCAACCCCTTCCCTCCTGCAGGCTCTCGCCCTTCAAACCCTCAGAAAGCTCAGCAGAAATCGCCCACTCAAGCCTCCAGCAATGATATCCTGCTGGTCTCTCAGGGATGGGAAGGGTTCCTTCTCCTTTGAAGCACAAACCATATCTCCTTGATTGAGGGAAGGGGCGCTTGGACGTCTTCTCTTTTAAAACATCATTGTTGAGATACAGTTTACCCATTTGTACTTAAAGATAAGTACACCCTTCACCACAGTCAGTCTGGACCACTTCCATTCCCTGAAAGCAATGTGCCCTTCAGAACCAGCCCTACCCTTGGCCTCTTCTTTAACCCCATGCACCCACTATTCTTTCTGTCTGTATTGAATATGCTATTGTGGATTTTCATACACTTGAACTTACAGGGTATACGATATTTTGGGAATGTCTTGATGCACTTAGCATTGGCATTTTCAAGTCATTCAATCCTATAACATGTATTCATGCTTCATGATATATTTATTTATTTATTTATTTTTGGATTTTTGAGACAGGGTTTCTCCATAGCTTTTTGGTTCCTGTCCTGGAACTAGCTCTTGTAGACCAGGCTGGCCTCGAACTCACAGAGATCCGCCTGCCTCCGCCTCCCGAGTGCTGGGATTAAAGGCATGCACCACCACCGCCCGGCTTCATGATTTTTATTGTGCAATAATATTTCATTGGATTATTTCTATCCACTCATGAGATGCTGAACATCAGGCTTTTTCCACTCTGAGGCTATTATGAGCAGTGCTTCTGTGAACTTATTTCTTTGAAGGGTTAGGATTGAACTCAGGGCCTCTGACTTGCCAGGCAGATGCACCTACCTGCATATCCAGCACTGCAAACATTCCACATAGGCATCTGTGAGGACACACATTTCCTGTTCTTGTCAGTGTACACCTAGGTGTTGAAAGTGGGGCTATCCCTCTACAGCTGATCTTTTCAGGAGTCCCTGAACAGTTTCTCCAAGCATCTGCCTCATCCCCACAACAATGCACAAGGCACAAGTATCTCTTCATCCCTAACAGTGTTTGTTATTATTTCTGTCTTTGTTAATAGCCATCCTACTTAGATGTGGAGTGATAATTTCATTATCGCTTTTATGTGCATTTTCCTGATAGTGGCTCTGAGCATTTTCTCATGCATTTATTGGCCTTTTGTGTTTCTCCAGAGAAATGTCTAGTCAAATCCCAGGACTATACTCAGGGCCTCACCCATGCTAGGCAAGTACTCAACCACTGAACAACCCCAGTCACTTTGCCCATTTTAAAATTGTGTTGTCTTTCATTATGAGTTCTATATATATTGTGGATATAAGTCTATGATCATATGATTTGCTATATTTATTAGTTAAGGGTATAGATACAATGAATAGAGATCGAGAAAGTTGCCAACATGGTTTGCAGCTTTAATGTCCAGTGAAACTTGTTAAATGCTACCTTTGGCCATCACTTTGTCCCTCCTCTTTCTTGATCTTTCTCATGCCCTCTGCAAGCAATAGCTTTAACTTTGAGTTATTTTCCATAATCCTACCTGTCCACTAGACTACCCTTCACTCCAATTTGGGCAACTTTTCATCCTCTCCTCCACATTTGCCCCGAGATTTTCTTACACAGATCATTTTCCCTATTAAGCAAATTGTGTTTCCCAGAGGAAGAGTTGGAA